TGAGAGAGAAACATCGATTAGCTGCCTCCTGCACACTCCCCACTGGGGATGTGCCCGCAACCCAGGTACATGCCCCTGACCGGAATCGAACCTGGGACCCTTCAGTCCGCAGGCCGACGCTCTATCCACTGAGCCAAACCGGTTTCGGCAAGAAATATATATTTTTTAAAAAAAGTAATTATTCATGAAGAAAACACAGAAGTCACAAAACATTACTTGCCTTACTAAATGAATCCTACAAATGGTAATTAGTCTATAAGAGTTTAAAAGATCCAAGTAGTAACTTCAAATTTAAGAGATAGGGAAGACTGCCCTGGCCGGTGTGGCTCAGTTGGTTGGATCATCGTCTTGGGCACTGAAAGGTTACCAGTTCAATTCCCGGTCAGGGCACATGCCCAGGTTTCGGGCTCAATCCTGGCAGGGGGCTTGCAGCAGACCACTGATATCTTGCTCTTACATCAATGTCTCTCTCTCTCCCTCTCCTTCCTCTCTCTCTAAAAAACAGTAAGAAACACATTCTTTTAAAAAAGAAACAGAAAAAGAAAAGATAGGTTTAAGTTGGAAGAGAAGAAATGAAAATAAAGGCAAGTTTATCTTGGACTCTGTTGAAACTAGCCTCAAAAAGAAGGTTCCCAAGTGTGTGTTCATTGCCGCCACTCAAGAAACTGAGAAATATTCTTATGAAGGTTAAGACTAAATACCCTCACCTTTATTCCTCTCCAGAATACCTTCTATTAAACAGCTGTTGTAATAAACTCATTTACAGAAAGCAAAGCCTCATACCAGAGGTAGGTAGCTATATAGTTATTTAATTCAAACACAACCCGATATTTAGAGCAGCCTTTTTCAGCTGTAGAACATAAGCTGTCCCACTTAGTTGGGCTTTAGGTGTAACTTCTCAAATTCAGGTACAAACTGGTCTCTGCCTGAACTGTGAACTGTGGTTTGATTCTTCTCTGGATTGCTCCAAGTTCTCTCTCCCGATAAATTTCCTTTCCTAGGTCCTGTCTATCTAAACCACCCCTCTTTGGCCAAATTGGCCAGATTTTAGGTCCTTCCTAAGTGAGGATTTGCTTAGCTAATTTCTTTTCCCTAATGCTCTTTCTACCAATACTTTCCTTTCTTTTGTAAACATTTAATCTATCCAGTCACCAGTCACATGTTAACTGGAACATTAGCATTTCTAAAACTCCCTGCAGCTTTTTAACTAGCAAGCGTTCAACAAATTACAAATAAGGGTATTTCTTCACAATCCCACCCAAAGAAATGAACTTATTAATACAGCCTTATTTTGAGATAATCTTGTCTAAATTTTCTTGTATTATATGGACCATATGAGAGCCAGCAAAACAATCATTGCCATAGACAGTGAGTCAGTAATTGTCACTTGCTAGATGTTGATAAGGAAAGAAGCCTCCCATTCGCAATCCACCATAAAATGATTTTAATTCACTAAAAAAGGCGAAAGATTAAAAATAGGTTTTGCAGGTGGGAGAACTCAGGGTATCTAAAGGGAGTGAGTTAGAAGCAAAAGCTACATATGGATGGCTCAGGCATGAAGGGTCATCTCCAATTTCGGAAACCATGCTTTGTCCACCACGTATATCAACCCTTTCCCCCAAATCCACAACACCCAGTACAAGATTTAAAGGATACTGTCCCAATTCTGTTCATATCATACTTTGTCATTCCATGGTTTTGTCTCAAAATGATAACAAACTCAAAAGCAGAGATAATGTATACATATATCACTGTACCTCTTAGGGCTGTGCTCAGTCGGTAGAAAACATTGCTCAGGGTATTAAAACAACCCCTGATTCAAATCCTACCACGCACTGCACAATGGTTAGGAGACACTGGAAAAAACTATACGTTTGTATTTGCCTACAAACTCCTAAACGGTTGAACATGTTGAGATCTGTTTCACAAAGCGATTCTTACAAAACTACAAAAATGCTCACGAGGTATCTATGCCAAAGGTGTCTGCTGTGAACCACTTGGTACAGATCCCACACTGCAGCTCCACTTCTCCCAGCTGCCGGCCGTTCTCCTCGTCCACGGAGCCCGCTTGAGTATCCATCGCCTCAGAAGTATCCCCAGCACCTTCCTGTGTCCGGAGCGCAATTAGGGAATCAAGTTAGTTGACCTATTGTATTTTTGACTCACTTAAAAACTAAAACAAAAAACAGAAAACAACACACACACACACACAAAAACACCAAAAAACCACCCTACTTCGCGACCCAAACATTCATGAAGACTTACTAGTGTATCTTTTCCATTAGAGGATTCTGTCTCCAAACCACCGCTTACATCGACAGAGTTCGCGTCCCTGTAAGACAATGAAAGCACTCCGGTAAAACTTTTCAAGAGAAACAAACCTCAAAACGCCGAGTAGCCCAGAGCTAATGATCAAAGTACCGGTGAACTGCACCCTCCGCTTTTTCTCTAAGCCCGTTCTCAGGCTGGATGCCCGCGGTTAGGAGAATGTGGCTCCGACAGACGCAGGCCCGTGGGCACAGGGAAGCCTAATAATCAGCCCCACAGATCAGTCCACCTGGGGTGGGATCAGCTCAGCCCCACAGACCAGTCCACATGGGGTGGACCCGGTCCCGGGGAAGTTCGCAGACGTGCAGCTCCCCCGCTCCGTTTCAGCGGAGCCGCCACTTCGCCCCAGCCTGGCAAGTCAAAGTGGCTTCTTCTCTGGGGTAGTTGAGGGGTTCCTGCTAGAAGACTGCGTTACCCGCCGGCGTGCAAGGACCAGAGACCGGACCAGAAACCAGGCTCTCACAGACCTTAAAAGGTGCGGGAAGGGGCGTAGCCCGAGACCCAGTTCAGAGGGGACGGGCCAAGCGGCGGGTGGGACTACGGTGCCAACATCAGTGATGAGAGAGAATCATTGATGGGCTGCCTCCTGCACGACCCCCACTGGGCCTGCAATCCCAGCATGTGCCCTTGATCGGAATAGAACCTGGGACCCTTCAGTCCGCAGGCGCGGGATTCCAGGGGGGGGCGGGCCTCCCTCCCCGCGTCCTCCGGTGACTGCTGGACGTCTTACCCGCCTTCGGCCTCTCCGGAGCCGGGCTCCGCGGCTGGAGCAGCAGAGGTCCCCTCTCCGGCTGGAGCGGCTGCGACCGCTACCGCCGGCTTCGTCTCCCCTTCCTCCGTCGCTGTTGCATTTGCGGCCGCTGCTGGGCCAGGTCCTGCACCCACTCCGGGTCCGGGTCCAGTTCCCGCCGCCGCCATCACGGCCGCCTCCTAGACTTCTCGCGAGAATGCGCGATCCGTCTCGCGCGAGCTGCTGACGGCCCCTGTAATCTTCAAATAGTAAAGGCCCCCGGTGGGTCCCCTGGCTGCCTGAGTCAGGCTCGCTCCCGGCCCACTTTAAGGTCCCGGGACCGATAGAAGCGGGCGGGGCCTCGGGGCTTGGCGAGCCACCCCCAAAGCTAGGTGAAGGCTAAGGAGGCTGACTGATGAGTGGGATTCCTCCAGCACTCACTCCATTCCGGGGGCGGATGCTGCGCACATTCGTGGCTAAAACGAGAAATAGCCGCGCAGGTGAGATGCCTTGAGAGCATTGGCTGCCTGCAGACTGGGACGCTGTGGTGTGCGTTGCAAACGTTTCTCACTTTTAAATGTGGGAAATGCCTTCCAGAAGACGAGCACTGGCTGCTGGGTCCTGGAAGGAGTTTGTTTACTGCCCTAACAATCTGCCACTATGCGCACGTGTCCGAGCGGCCTCTAGACACGGGGCGCCTCGCCCTAGACCAGCGGTTCTCAACCTGTGGGTCGCGACCCCGGTGGTGGTCGAACGACCCTTTCACAGGGGTCGCCTAAGACCATCCTGCATATCAGATATTTACATGACGATTCAAAACAGTAGCAACATTACAGTTATGAAGTAGCAACGAAAATAATTTTATGGTTGGGGCACAACATGAGGAACTGTATTTAAAGGGCCAGAAGGTTGAGAACCATTGCCCTAGACAGTCTGAACCGAAAGCCTCAGCTAGGAGGCGAGGGCCAGGGAGGAGTGTGGAGGGAGCAGCCAGGCGGGAGAGGCCAGACGCGCTGTGTGTTCTAGAAGCTGCAAGCCGCGCACTAGTGTAAGGGGAGGAAAATGAAGCTGGGAAGTTAGGGAGCCAGGTGCTGAGAGGCTGAAGAGTTTGGGGAAGCTTGGTCCTTAGAGAAAGGGACCGGTATAGTCTAAAGGTAAGAACGAGGAATCAGCTACAGCGTTGGTAGGTGGAGTCGTTGGAGTGGAATCATTCAGAGCCAACGTCTGCAAACAGAACAATACAACCCCTATAAGTAGTCAGACCAGGACAGTTTTCAGGAAATCAGTGTTTACGACCTAATTCCTAAAAAAATTGCCCAAGGATAAGCCTTTGTCCCACTTTACCAAAAAAAGGCCTACTTCTCTCCAATCCTGCATCTAATCTTACTGTGATGTATTGTCCCAGGGTGTACAGACCTCTGGGACACCAGGCACACAAATGAAAATTTGTAGATATTTGATTTCTCAGTGGCATTTTAACCAAATTGAAGGAGGACCTAACTGAATTACCTATCAGTTGATAGATTATTTTTTTTAAATGTTGGGCCCTGGCCGAGTAACTCAGTTAGAGCTTCATCCTGATAAGCCAAAGTTGCAGGTTAGGGCACATACAGGAGTCAGCTAATGAGAGCATAGATAGGTGTGTTGTAGGCAGTTAGATGGACGTGAGCAGAGCAAGGACGATGGGCCAGGTACAGGCTGAAAAGCCCTGGGTGCCAAAGGACAAATGTAGGGTGGGACCTTGCCCCCAGGGTGACCTTCCCTCCCCTAGCATATCTCTGGTCATGCGGTTTGGACCCCCTGACCTTCTCTAGAGATAGAGGCCTCAGTTGTATTTCAGATCCAGGCCCAGGAAAGCAGCAAAACCAGACAAGCAACACCACTGTTGACCTCAGGACCAACCGCATTAGATAATGACCCACTGGAGCCTGATAGGTCCCCGAAGGAGGAATGCAGGAAGCCAGAATGGTGAGGGATTACGAATTTATTTGCTCATCCGCACCAGGTGGCTGAGCCCCAGATGGCTCCAGCACCCAGTGATGGGAGTCAGTGGTTTTTTAAAGGACTTTTGGCGGGCTTTTTCTGAGCGGAGAATTCTCTGTGCAGGTCCAGAGGGGAGAGATAATGGAATGTGGTTTCAGCAAGTAAAGTGGGTCTCAGTAAAAGGGAATGTTCGTAGTGAAATGGCCTGCAAAGTCAGTTCTTGGGGGAGGGGTATCGATTCCATCGCTTGATCAAACCTAGCAGAGCCAACCAATCAGTGGAGACCTAGACCATGAAAGGACCCACCTGGAAAGCTACTGAATATTCTATTGAGATCTTCCCCTGGGCCCTCCCCTAAAATCTCCACCCTAAAATCTCCACCCTAAAATCTCTTATAGTGGAGGACCCAGGCCACTCTCCCTCCCGAGAGCACTCCAGCAGCACCTTTCCCTCCCCCTTCCTCCTTCCCATCCCCCCCAGGCACATAACCATTAGCTTCCTCACTCCCAAGCTCCATGCACCTCCCTTTACCTCTATAATTTACTTCCTAAGCCCATTTCTTCTACCTCTGTGATTTTCCAAATAAATGTTCTCTTATAGTTCGAGTCTATGAATTCTTCCCTAGCTAGACGCAAGTACAGAGGTTGCTGAACCCAGGTCCAGTATGACCCCACTCGTCTAGTTCCTGCCACCCATGACAGATTAATGTTCCTCCCTCTCTCTCTCTGTCTAAAATAAAGTAATAAAATAGATTGTTGGTGCTAAATGCTAAAAGTAGCAAGTGAAACATTAGAAAAAGAACAGGATACTTAAACAGATTCCAAGTATGTCCCTCAGATATTTGTTGTAGTTTTAATGTGGCCACAGAATCTTCGATACACCTTCCTCCAGGAGGTGAAGCTTGACTCCTTCCACCCCTTGAGTGTGTGGGCTGGATTTAGTGACTGGCTTCTCAACAACGATATGTGGAAAAGGAAAATAGTAATTTTTACAGGAGAGAAATGCAGACACCACCTTAACCAAGTGGTCGAGGTTAACACCATCAGTAATAAGTAATAAGTCCTTTTGATATCATTTACCCCCTCATATGATGCAAAGTCACTTCATCTCTGTGGAATTTCCCCCCTTAAATCATTCCCCCAGTCTAATCAAAAGAAAACATCTCCCAAATCCAAATGGAGAGATATTCCAGAAAGTACTTGAGCCGTGTGGACCAAAAAGGGGCCACATAGCCCAGCCTGTGTTGCTCAGTGGTTGAATGTCAACCCAGGAGGTCCCGGGTCGATTCCCAGCACATGCCCAGGTTTCTAGCTCCATCCCCATTAGTAGGTGTTTCTATCTCTCTTTTCCTCTCGCTCTAAAATCAATTTTAAAAAAATTTTAAAAAGGGGAGGGGAGAGCCACATATTAAACCTGACAAGCTTAGTGAGGCCTGCATGTCAGGGCTTACAAACTCAGAGACCTAAAGTAACCACATAGGATGGTCTAAAGTAAAACTTCCTAACTAAAAGTGAGTCATGGAGGGTAGTCATGCCCTTGGCCAGTATCTTCCATGACAAGGGTCAATCTTTATCTTAACTGAGCTTGTCTGTTGTCTTTTTGCATCTATGAGAAAGACACTTTACCTTAACTGAGTCTGTCTATTGCCTATCCTTTATATCCTATATAATAAAAGCCTAATATGCTAAATGTCCGACCATTTGACCAGTCGCTATGATACGCACTGACCACCAGGGGGTAGACGCTTGGACTGGTAGTTTAGCTTGCTGCTGGGGTCTGGCCAATCAGGACTGGGTGAGATGGGCCAGACACACCCTGGAGCCCTCCCTCAATCCCTCCCCAGCCCTGATTGTGCACCAGTGGGGTCCCTCGGCCTATCCTGTGCCCTCTCGCAATCCGGGACCCCTTGGGGGATGTCGGACTGCCGATTTCAGATTTCAGCCCGATCCCCACAGGCCAGGCTGAGGGACCCCACTGGTGCATGAATCCGTGCACCGGACCTCTAGTATATTATAACTGGGTGTCCCCCCCCCAAAATGTATACACACTTTAACAGCTGATAGCTCACTTTTGAAAATGAAATGTATTTTAATGAACACTGCTTTTGTAATTATTAAAAGTGTGTGTATACATTTTTGAGGGGGGATCTATTGATCTCCTGAGCCTGGAGGAAAGCAGGAGGAAGGAATAAGGATGACATTTATAATTATTAAGGGGAAACAGGAGACCAAGGGAAAACATTGGTGGCCGGTAGCGAAGGCCTGGCTGAACTCTGAGACGGCACATCTATTGTGGCTCCAATTTATACCTTCCATACTTCCTTCCAGCAGCACTAAGCTGCGCAAGTATAATAGCAGGAATGAATGAGAACATTCATCTTAGTTTTCAGTTTTGCCAGGCAGATAAAATAAGGGCCAGGATCAAAGGCAACCAAAGCTGATAGTGAGAGAGAGTTCAGATGATTAACCATGGCATGTGAGAGAGCAGGGGCACAGGAAGAACTGGAGAATTCAGCGTCCAGAAGTCCCAATGAGAAGGCAGGAACTGGGATGGAGAGAGGTTGAGGTAAGAGAAGAGAATATTTGAGTTTCAAGATTTTAGGAGAATCCCCTTCCTCTTTCCCATAGCCAACTTACTTGTGGGCAGAAGTGGGCCAGGCTAAGGTAGAACCAGACCTCATTTCTGGGATGGGAAAGCCAGGTATCCATCCACCCAACGAGGTGCCTTCTGAAGATAAGTTAATTAAAACCACTAACAGGGCACTGGGCAGGAAGCTTAGGATGGAAACACTCTTAGGAGCTCTCTGTCCCCAGCAGAGGACTCAGGCTTGCCAGACAGCTGACTGGATACAGCTGACAGCTGCAAGCTGAATTATTTGCCTGGCGGTGGTGAAAATACAGAGCCCATTCTGCTCTCACCCTCAAATATAGCATTCAGATGCTCACAGTTGTTATGCTTGAGTGGTGGGTTTACAAAGACCACTTCTTATTCTTTCTCTATATTTTCCAAGTGTTCAACAGTGTGCACGTGTTGCTCAAATGAGAAGTAAATAAAGCCTTGTAAAAAGTGTTCTTTGTCTTCTTCCTCACTACTTTCGCTACTATTCTCACTTTTGTTCCTTTAAAAAAAAATTTTTTTTAAGAAGAGTTTATTTGAGCCAAACTGATGACATATGCCAGGGAGCAAGATCTCAACTGCTCTCTTGATCCTTCTCAGTTCTACTGCCTCTCGCTATTTGTCGTTTTATCTCCTCACCAGGATCACCACAACCAAATCTTCGTGTTTTAGGCTTTCCTACTCCAGTCCACCTGGCCAGTCTTTCGACACCTCTGCTTCACCTCATCTTTCCTTAGGAAGCTCCTTACTGCCTTTCAGTGAGAACTCAGACTCAGCTTAGTGGTCAAGAGTGACCTCCCAGCAAATGACCTCCCAATCCTGTTGGCATCCGCCATTCTCAGCACACCCTGCCTCCTCCTCAGCTCTCCAGGTTTGGGCCCACTTCCCCGCTTTTCCCCCTCTGGATTCTGCCACACTCCTTGTACCCATATCCATTACATCAAGACCCACGTCAAAGTTACCCCCTCAGGAAACCTTGCTTCCCGCAGTTTTTATGTGAATGTATATGCTTCAGTAGTCCTCAGTTATAACTGAGAACTTTTTTGTGGACCCAGATGGCCATAATTTTTTTTTGGGGGGGGGGCCATAATCTTATTTGGCTCACTTGTATAAGGATGAATGAGGTCATCATTTCACTCATAACAAATCCTGATGCTTATTCATAATATACTTCTCTGAGAGGTTCAAAAGCGATCAGCTCCCCACTCAACACAGTGCATTTTTGCCTCATTTTCTTTGCTTGTGCTATTCTTTCTAGCTTGAATGCAAATGTTTTAAAGAAAGTTTCAAAACAGTATTATGACTATTGTTTCATCCCAAAGGATTGGATTAATTTGGATGAAGTTAATAAATTTAAAAAGTGATTATTTTGACTGATGAATTTTTCTGGACTCGAGAATGAGAAATGTATGTAAAAAATTCCAGCATTGCCGAAACCGGTTTGACTCAGTGGATAGAGCGTCGGCCTGCAGACTGAAGGGTCCCAAGTTCGATTCCGGTCAAGGGCATGTACCTTGGTTGCGGGCACATCCCCAGTGGGAGGTGTGCAGGAGGCAGCTGATCGATGTTTCTCTCTCATCGATGTTTCTAACTCTCTATCTCTCTCCCTTCCTCTCTGTAGAAGATCAATAAAATATATTTTAAAAAAAATTCTAGCATTGTGTTGTGATCCAACTTTTGAACACTTGTTAGTATACACGAGGAGAAAAAGGTCTGGACTTCTGCTCACTGGACTTTTATCACTGATTATCTCTGAGGGAATGGGGGTAGTTATAGAGACTACCTACCTATTCTTTCCATAATATACTTCTGCAGTGTTTGATATTTTTCTATGAATTAGATTATAATCAGGAAAAAAGCGAACACATTTTCAAAAGCTTTACACATACCTGGACTAAGCCATAAAAAGTAATTTCCCCAGGTCCGGCGTTGAAGTGAACTAATCTACTTCTATCATCTTTTGAGCAAGAAAAAGATGTTCTTGGCCGGAATCAAACCTGGGACCCCTCAGTCCACAAGCCGACGCTCTATCCACTGAGCCAAACCGGTTTTGGCAGCTTCTATCATCTTTTGAGCAAGAAAAAGATGTTCCAGACCTTTAAGGAACTGAGGATTTTCTTTTCATTTAAAAGGAAAATAGGCCGGTGGGTGTGGCTCAGTGGTTGAGCGTCAACCTTTGGACTGGGAGGTCCTGGTTCGATTCCTAGTCGGGCCATATGCCTGGGTTTCGGGCTTGCACCCAGGAGGTGGCTGATCAACGATTCTCTCTCATCATTGATGTTTTTATCTCTCTCTCTCCCTCTCCCTTCCTCTCTGAAATCAATAAAAATATTTTTTAAAAAGGAATTAAAAATAAAAGGAAAGTAGAGACATATGTGAGCTGAGTTTTAATTGTTGCTCGATCACTTCTCATCCAAAAAACTTACCCAAAGCTGTGTTCATTGTGTCTCTGTCCACAGCCACACTCACTCCTGGTGTGAATATTTTGCTGTTCCCTCAAAGGAGAATGAAGCTTTCCAGAAAACTCTAGAACTTAAAAACTCAGTTGCAGACTGTCTTCCTCCTCCCTGAGTGTGCTTTAGCGAGATAGCAGCCAGAGCACTACTTTGGAGATGCCCAGGGTCTGGGCTGGGACCTGAGACTTGCATTTCTAACCAGCTCCCAGAGAGTGTCTAGGATGCTAGTCTAAGGATCATGCTTTGAATAACAGGGAGTAGAGTGTTTTTCTCTTTCACCTCCCCACTAGCTTCTCTAATGCAGGCCTTTTCAACAGGGCTTTGGGTATAGCAGGCAATAACTAACAGCACTTAGCTAATAGCTAATGTAGCAGAATAATTCCAAATAGTAATGGGTTGATTTCCTCTCTTTCCTTTTCTCTCTTTAGTCTTCTTGTTACACTCCTCCCCATCCCTTCCCACATAGTGCCCTATCCTGGCTATACATTAGAATCACCTGGGGAGCTTTTTGGGGTTTGGGAGGGGAGACAGTGCCCTTTGGCCAATGCCATCAGCCTCGGTAAAGGAGGGATCTAGGTTTTGACAGCTTTAAAAAAAACTTCCCAGTGATTCTAATGTGTCACCTGGGCTGCACTGTGTTTCATCGCCTCAAGGAGAGAGAGGGCAGGTGAAAGAGAAATAGTGTATTATCTATGTTCCTTAGGGAAGGAGTGAGGTTAAAATTTTCCCTTCTTTAGTCATATCAGTTCATGACCAGGACGTGGTAGACAGTGGTTCTGTTGGAGCTGCAGGGGATGAGGCGCAGTGATGGAACTCAGAGCGTAAATGAAGCCATGTAAGTACAAGAAACCCGAATATCTGGGAAAGGTCAAGAAGACAGCAGATATCAGAGACTTGAATTAGGGAAAATCTGAGAGTGAGCTTGCCTCATTGAGGGATAGATGGACTCCCGGGAAGAGGCAATGTCATGACCTTTCTTTCCCTTCCTTGACAAAAAGGAAGGTTCTGACTGAACCATAAACGTTAATATAGTTATTCATTCAGATATGTAAGTTTTCATAATGTAGGCCCAAAAGCCAGGGCCTGCTGCTACCCACCTTACTCGGTTTCCAAATACCTATCTGGTCACATGCACTTCGTGTAGCACCTATGTGAGTGCTACCCACCGCAGGCCAGCT